ATCACTCACCCCCCAGTGTGTGTGTGTGTGTGTGTGTGTGTGTGTGTGTGTGTTTTACCTACTAATAGCAATTTCTCACCCAATAAAATATTTTAGAACATGGCATAAACAGGAAATATGATCAAAGTCAACTTCAAGGTGTTGAGGCAACAAATTAAACTAAAAAATATGTCATCTTACATTTTGATCATTAGTTGTTTTAGCTTATTTTAATGATTTGTTTTTGTGTGCCTTCTTTAAAATCATTTTAGTTCATCTTAGAAGTTTGCTCCGGCCTCCAGGTCAAGAACCCACCTCTTCAGATAATGCACTGGAATCACAGTTAATTTTGTGTTTTTGTTATGTGTAATTCTTTGTTTGGTCAGTAGAGGGGGTGCTTGGTCTGGGCTGCAGTTTCACCCCAAAACCAACCGCACATATATCTACTTTTTTCAGCAGCACTTTCCCGCCTCAGCCCTATACTGGTGCATCTCAATAAATTAGAATGTCGTGGAAAAGTTCATTTATTTCAGTAATTCAACTCAAATTGTGAAACTCGTGTATTAAATAAATTCAATGCACACAGACTGAAGTAGTTTAAGTCTTTGGTTCTTTTAATTGTGATGAGTTTGGCTCACATTTAACAAAAACCCACCAATTCACTAACTCACTGTTTCACAATTTGAGTTGAATTACTGAAATAAATGAACTTTTCCACGACATTCTAATTTATTGAGATGCACCTGTAGATCAGGAGGCAGGATCCGAAAAGTCATTCTCGGAATCCAATCAACGTACTTTTTTATTTTGCTAATCATGTTTTTAACTTGACGGACCAAGTCGAAACAAGTAGGACACCCCCATTTTGTGCTAAAAAGTGAAAGGAATCATGAAATCTATTTATAGATCCATGGAGGCCAGCAAGAAAGTATAGTTGAGTTTGTGGCTTTGAGGCTTCTGTTGAGAATGAATAATGGTTCTCTCTGTTAGTTTTGGGTGGTCATCAACAGACTGACTGTAAATGATCTTTGTAAAAAAAAAATACGTTGTGGCCGTGATTTTTCCAGATACAGATCTGTTCCCCCTTTGGTTTGGAGGGTTTCTACCTGTGGGTCTAGAGATTTGAGGTTGTGACGAGAGGAATTGTGAGGTCCAGAGATGAGGAAAGATAAAATGCGATACTTCTGTAATAGTAAATTGTATCAGTATGCTCTTTTAATAATTTAATCATTTATTTCAGTAATTCAACTCAAATTGTGAAACTCGTGTATTAAATAAATTCAATGCACACAGACTGAAGTAGTTTAAGTCTTTGGTTCTTTTAATTGTGATGAGTTTGGCTCACATTTAACAAAAACCCACCAATTCACTAACTCACTGTTTCACAATTTGAGTTGAATTACTGAAATAAATGAACTTTTCCACGACATTCTAATTTATTGAGATGCACCTGTAGATCAGGAGGCAGGATCCGAAAAGTCATTCTCGGAATCCAATCAACGTACTTTTTTATTTTGCTAATCATGTTTTTAACTTGACAGACCAAGTCGAAACAAGTAGGACACCCCCATTTTGTGCTAAAAAGTGAAAGGAATCATGAAATCTATTTATAGATCCATGGAGGCCAGCAAGAAAGTATAGTTGAGTTTGTGGCTTTGAGGCTTCTGTTGAGAATGAATAATGGTTCTCTCTGTTAGTTTTGGGTGGTCATCAACAGACTGACTGTAAATGATCTTTGTAAAAAAAAAATACGTTGTGGCCGTGATTTTTCCAGATACAGATCTGTTCCCCCTTTGGTTTGGAGGGTTTCTACCTGTGGGTCTAGAGATTTGAGGTTGTGACGAGAGGAATTGTGAGGTCCAGAGATGAGGAAAGATAAAATGCGATACTTCTGTAATAGTAAATTGTATCAGTATGCTCTTTTAATAATTTAATCTAGATATTATTTGTATTTCAATATCTTGGGCTCTAGTAAGTTCACCGAAAAGTAAATAGCCTTTAGCTGCAATTTAACAGAAGTTGCTACAGATATTTTTTTTCCCACTGTTGTGATGTATATCAGAGTGAGATGGATTATCGAACAAGAAAAAATATAAGGGGTGGGACTTGGTTTTGTCCATTGGTTGTTGATGGGACATGAAGGGGGATCTAAATGTGAGCTTATAGTCAGTTGTAAGAAAGGGGTGAGGTTACCGTTTAAGTGGACTACGTGATTGGAGAAATCCAGCATACATCACCAAAGAGAAGTCTGTCGTTTCACACAGATACATAAATGTAGATGCCTTATTAGTGGCTGTTTGGCCGCTATACATCTGCCATATTGGAATGGTCAAAGGCCGGTCAATGAACACTTGAGAGCAAATTGACTGTGTCTGTAACCAGTTATACACATGTATGAATATCTGCATCTGCAATAGACTTCAGAGGATGATTTTGGTAAACTAACACAACATGGCAATACAAAGGCAGCTAACACAGCATCACAAGTTACCATAGTTCCAAAACCTGTAATATTGAGTTAATAAAAAACAAACCATCACATTTTTTACATGTGAAAGGTGATCCTATTTCTTTGAGAATTAAAATCTTGGTGTTTTTTTACAACCCAAGGCTGTGCAATGTTGTGGCATCTTGGAAAACACATTGATTATTACCGTGACTGACGACACATTGACCGTTCCAATATGGTGGACGCCTCTTCATGTGTGGAGTGGCTAAATGTGGCATCTATGGCTCCAGACACATAGTCCACCAGTCCACCATCTTGTAATGGCCAACGTGACATGACTCAAAGTATTGTACGGGTTAGAGTATAAAGAAACATAAGCACAGACGAATCACTCACAATACGATTAATAACATGCATTTAGAATATAGAAACGCTGAAATTCCATTCACAAGCATCACTCATTATCATACTGTACATTGGGTGGATATTTTGGTTATTTTGTAATGCTTATTTTGTTATTCTGACAGCAGATTTTGGTGCTTGTTATTTTGTAATGGGAAAAAGTGGTTTCAAATGAAGTACTCTTGAGGTTTATTTTGCAATTAGAAGCAGATTTCCTTTGATTATTGTATTCACATTAAACCGAACTGGGCTTCAATCGCATTAAAATGCTGCGTACTGTTAAGTTGCGCTTTCGTAACCTGTCCTGTTTCACACAATAATGTCGGCAATATTTTCTACCCAACACTCTCAATATTTAAGCTATTGTTGAATGAGCCTCCTTCTGGAGTGAAACCATGGCAGGATATATTATAATGTGTCTCCTGCAAGTTTGTCATTGTGAAAGCAATATGTCTCTGCACCCAGCTGCTTCCCATGAGGAAGTGTTTTATGAGAACCATATTAGAGCAGCACACATCCCAACTTCTATAGTATTTCTGCAAGCGTTTAGCTGCCGTGCAAAGTGATCATTGATTTAGCACATATTTATCTGCTCAGTCTGCTCAAGGACACCTGATACATTTGGAGTGGTGGAGTGGACCATTTTCGGTTGGCCCTGTAAGCCATTAAGCACAGTAGATGCTTTCAGTTGGCTTCTGTCTCTCATGATCGACGACTCTGTTTTAGGGTCTGGTAGCGGTACTACCCCATTTATGTATTAACAGCGGGTCCACCCTTAACCCGAGGATATATGTCTGATACAAAACCACCTGTAATTATATTCTTCATGCAAGACCAACTTCCTTCAGTGCATTTCCCAAGCCAGAAAAAACACAAGATGAACCGCAGAATGGAAAGCAAATGACCCAAAATACTCCGGCACTTCTGAGGATTCAAAGGGGAACTCGGGCCTTTTGTTGTTTCAGCTGGAGCGCTTGTCCCCACATCTTGTTTATGAAAAAACTGGAACGATTGATGTCGAAGTCCTTTGAACGTTTGATTCAGATGAATGGGTGTCAGATGGCCTGGCTTATTATGGTCTGGATGATTTCATCCTTGAACGGGGACAGCAAGAAAGTTACATCATGCAGTAATGTTTAGGCATTATCACAAACATTCGGTCTGTCCTCTCAAGATCAGATTTAATCAATGTAACCTTTGCAGAGTGTTTCCCAGTGTAACATGAGCGATTTCTTAAAATCAAAACTAAAAAATAAATGAATGTGACTTTGGATTCGTTCTATAATGCCTTGGTTACTATTTGTTCTGTTCCTTAGCAGAGTGATTATAATGTATTCATTGGAAGGTGATTTTCGCCTGTTCCACCTTATAGGTCTTGACCCCCTTGACTGACTGTGTGTAGTAACTGAAATCTTGTTTTATTAATAGATTGTAATTACCACGGTAATTACAGGTTTATATTAAGAAAATATCTCAGATCTAAGAGGGTCACTTACACACAGAAGCTCATTTGTTTCTTTCAAATATATTTTATAGTTTTTAAATAATATAAACAAAAAAATAACCATTACTAGTATCAAATAAAATTAATATTTAAAGAATTTTTCAAGAATTGGCTTGTATTTATTAGAACGCTCTCGTACATTCAAGTTCACGGGCTTTTATTTTGAAATCCAGTCTAGACGGCAGGCGGAAGTAAAGGTCTGTGTTTATGTGCGCGCGTGTGTTGATGGCAGCCTCCAGTGACAGCATGCAGAACATAAACAGCGCGCTCTGTCAAATAGCCACAGAAAAACTTACAAACACGCATCTCACAACTTTGCAAACCGTGACGAAAGCATTACGGGATGAACAGTTCAGGTACTACACATTTCCCACTTTACAAAATGAACAGAAATGTGTGTGTTTAAATGTACAGTATGTGTCAGCAGAGTATGGGTTACATATTTAGATACAGGTTAAAGAGCTGTTTATTGCAAATCTTTAGCGTTTCTGAGTGCTGTGTACTTTCACATGAACCAATTTTCTGACACATGCATTAATGCATGAAGAAAATGTCAGGATGCATGAACTGCCATACATATTCATCAAATTGAAAAAAGTCTTGACAGTTTCTGTTTTGTTTCAGAGCCAGTGTTGACAGGGAGGCGCTTGGAAGCCTCTTTGCAGTGTTGTCAAGACTTTCTGTGGATGTTGAGCATTTGATTGAAAACATGGATTCACAAGAAGAAGAAGCATCTGTATGCCTTAAACTCACCGCAGAGTGTTTCAGAGCGCACAGAAATGCCTGTGTGCAGTGCTCTCAAAACCAGTGCTGCCTGAGGTAGTGTACAGTGTCCAGAAAGCCTGAGATTACTAATACAAATGCCTCAAGTTTGCATATTTAATTGTAACGTTTAATTTCAAAGTATATCCTTGGTATAAATATGTGAGTAAAATATTGAAATTGTAGCAGATGAAATGCCTAAATATGTTATATAATATTGTTGTATCTATAATTATATTATATTACATAAATAAACATTTAATGTATTGGTATAATATGTTCCCTATTTAATGACAGCAGCACTCAAGCTGCATGAACTGAAGTTTGTGTAAAACTTGTGTGAATGTGAGCCTGCAAATAATGCAGAATCATAACAAATTTTAGGTATAACTTTATTATGCAGTCCTGTTTTGCATGTACATACTATGTAGATACTATACTTATTATAGTAATTGCAATAACTGGGTAATTTCAAGGTGCTAACCCTGAACTTGACCCTAAACTGAACCTTAACTCATGTAGTTGCCATATATTTCCCAGTACTTTTGTAAGTGCATGTACTGTAAAATAATGTTTTTTTTATGTCATAACTGTGATTTTTTTCCCCCTAGTATTTCTCATATTTGTAAGTGGTCTCAGACTTACGGACACTGTTTATAACATCATAATCATTATTAGTATATGAATATGACTGTGGCCTGTGAGCTTTATAAACCAGAAAAACAAAAGCATTTATATCTTCACAGAGATCTAGGCTCTATCAAGCTATCTTTTGAGATTTTGGCCAGACTCCTGAAGATTTCATCAGGAGGTTCAAATGACATTTATGACGGTGAGTTTCAAGTGTTTCAGCTGTATGGAGGGTAACGGACAGATAAATCAATGTATGACTCTCTCCTTTGGCAGCACTTCGATGTGGGATTCAGTTTCTTGGTAACATTGCTGTTGGAAACCAGCTTTGCAAAGATGACATCTGGGAGCTTGGTTTCCCGCACATCTTCTGGTGAGTGAATTTATGGTTAGGCATGAATAGTGCATTTCTTACGATGCCGTTCAGAAATGTGTTCAGTCTTCATTTTGTAAAATGCCACTGATTTGTAAAGCCCTCTACTGGTGCAGTTTTGTAACCACTTCTATCTCTTTCAAGGGACCTTTTGGAGCTTGCAGATGAGAAAGCTGTTTCATACACATGTATGGTGATCCACACTTGTCTGGATGAACACAAGACAGAGCAGCTAGTTAAAGACACTCAGCAGCTTAAATTGTCCCTGAAGATCATGGACTTGTGCAGGACGTTGCCTGATGTGGACTGGACGTAAGCTTTGTGTTTACATTGAAACAAACACAAAACAAGCACATCTGTTATTTAGGCCTATTTTATACCCCATTTTGGTCAAATATTACTCTTCTTACAGGGTCTTTATTGTCACACAACACTTTCTCAAGTCGTCAGAGCTTGTTAGGAAGATGTACACCCAAATGACCAATGAGGAAAGGTAAAAACTCTCAATTATTTAAATCAGTTATTGCACAAAGGTGAGATGTACTATCACAATACTGAGTTTTAACATTTTTGATGATTTGATTCAGTGTTGATTTAAGGCTCTGTTACAAATTCTTGTAACACTTTACAATGAGGTTTCATTTGTTAACATTAACTACGTTATTTAACATAAACTAACAATGCACAATATTTTTGTAGCATTTATTCATTTTAGGTAATGATAATCTCAATCTCAATCTGAAAATTTATATCAGCTAACATTAACAAAGGTTAATAAATGCTGTAAGAATATATTGGTCATGGTTGGTTCATGTTAAATATTGCATTACCTAATGGTAACAAATGAAACCTTATTGTAAAATGTTACCCAAATTCTCGTGAGCTGCCTAACTAGACAGCATTTTTAGGCATCATTGGCTGTTCCAAATAGTAGGCATTTTTAAATAAATTTTAAAATACCTAAAATTCTAAGGTAACATTCATAGATAAGCCATTGAGGAACTAAGTAACAGAAAATGGCCAAGATGGTGGATGGATTCTATAAAATATTAAAATAGTCACATAACATAATAAAATAAGGCAGCGGCTATTTGCACTAAGTGTAAATAGCGATAGATGCTATTTACACTAAGTGCAAATAGCAGCATTTTTTAGTGATATGCTATTTACACTAAGTGCAAATAGCTATATATTCTATTTACACTGTCAAAATTTTGACACTGTCAGGATTTTCTGCTATTTATACTACTTATTGCAAATAGTGGCAATTATCTGCAGCTCAGTATTGCAGTACATTATAAAACAGTATGCAATAATAACTTATTGAGTGTAAATTTTAATTCAAATGATTAAATGGATGCCATCTTATTGGGACAATAAAGCCCTCCCTACACCTACCCTAACCCTACC